GAGATTTCGAGACCGATGTCGTCGGTGGACCCCGGCATTGTGCATCCGCCCCATTGTCTCTGGCACGCGGCGAGGGCCATCAGGGGCATTGTCTAACCCACAATGGATCCTCCTTCCCCCATCCTGCTCCTTCTTTAGCTCCTTCTGTTTCTCAGGCTTCTCCTCCCCAAAATCAAGCAAACAAACCTCCAATCACCGAGAGAAGCAAGTGCCAACACAAAATTGAATTGGGGGCCAGCATGAGCTGGATTAGAGGACTTGCCATAACCCGGAGCAGTCAGCACCATCAATTGATTGTCCTGACCCATTTGGTCGCCAGATAGGAAGTGACTTCGATCCATTGAAAGTGGTAAAACAAACTGAAAATATAGCCCCTCTGGTTAGGTATACAATAATTAAGTTGCTAAATATTCCAAATTTAGGTAATCCTTTGGTAATCTTTAGATAATCTTTGGGTTATTTACTGAATGAATAGGGTTTACTTTTCAATATTTCATAATTTCATAATAAATAGCTATTAAAAAAACCAGGCATATTTGAGGAATATAAATAAGGAATAAATTGGTTATAAAAAGCTAAAATAAATTATTCATATTTATAAATCAAATGATTTATACACTAAACTAAAAACCCAGCATATTATTTTGTTGTTATCTGTGCAGTCTCTTTTTTTAAGGAACTAAAAGCTAAAGTAAATAATTAATTTTTTATGAAACTTTTTATGCCCAAAAACTAATCTCAGCTTAATGCTTCTATTTTTTTCCTGAGAAGTCTTGAAGTTTTTAATCTTTACAAGTTGACGTTGAAGTTTTTATTTGAGACTTGGTCAAGTCGTTTGGTTATCGCCAATAGCGAACTATGACAGCTCGTGACTCAATTTACGACTGTTTATGGCAAGTTATAGCCCGCTCAAGTGATCTCTGCCATTTGACGGGGTCATTCATTAAAGTTTCACTGGCACACCCTCTCGTCGGCTTTATTACGAGAAATAATTTAACGCATCAACGATTGGCAGCTTTGGCCATGATTATTGGCCCTTTTCCCTTGGCCCTTTACGTTGGCCTCTTGTAATTGCTATCACTGTCCCTTTCACACCCACTCTGCCCCTCTCTTTCACTTGCTCTATCTGTGTGCCCTTTAGTGTTGCGATTTTGGCTTTTTCCCAGCAGTATTTGATTTCTTTCGAACTGCTTTAAAAAAAAAGGTTCATATAAGTCAGGGTATAATTTTTGAATACCAGCCTTAACAAATAAATACATTTAAAAGTGAAACAAACTTTAAAGCGCTGTCATTTAAATGTAATACTTTTGTTAAGAGGTTCTGAGGTTTGGTAGTAGTTAAGTAAAAGCATATATTATAAATAGTCCGCCAACTAGTAATAAGAGAAAATCAAAACCCTGTAATATGCATTAGTTTAGAAGAGTAAACCGCATTTATAGCTACTTTAGCCGATTGATTCAACCACCTCTGTTTGTCTTTTCTGATACAGAAAGCCTTGCTAAGCCATGAAATTGTATGGGTCCTTATGGCCCAGTGACCTGCTCACGTTGTTCATGTTAAAATTCCAAATTACATTTTGCATTTTGATTAAAACGTAAACACAGTGACCTCCTCCAGCCATTTACTCAACAGTTCTGGCGAAAGAAAAGGTGAACCCCCTCGCCCCCCAGTTGGGTCTGAAACTCATTCCCCCCACGAGACAGTGGGTTTTCTCGATGCTCGTTTGCAATTTAATGAAGCAAACTGTTGCTAAACACAAGTGAAAGCGGCGGGGGAAAGTGTGGATCAGTTTGGGGAAAGTTGGGGAGTGGTGGGGGAGTGGCGTTCGAGCATGAAAATTGTTTGTCCACAGACTCCAGCGTATTCCGGTGGAATAAAAGCGACTGAGGCAGATGGAAGGCGCTTAGCGTCCAACAGCTGTTCCAAATCCGCTCCACAGCCCACCCACCTACCAGTATCCTGTGTACTGTATCCTGCAGACCCCCCCCTCTTGGCAATTTGACAAGAGCGCATTATCCTTACAAACGGCACCAGATGGGCCTGCCTCAACATCGCACAAAAAAAGAACGAAATGAAAAATGATAGAGAGCCTGAAATTCGGTGGAGGGGGTTATAAAACTGAGGATTAGCCCAGTCAAACGATTCCGCTGGCATTGTGCCAAAAAAAAAAAGGAAAACGAAACGAAGGGAAATCCAAACACAAGAGTGCGGAAATTATATGTATATTTAAAACTGCATAAATCAAAACACTCGGGGCAGAAAGGTCAAAGGTTGGCCGGTGGTGATAATTGATTGATGGTCAGTGCCAACTGACGCCGTTTTTTAAGAGCCTCTGTCACCGGCAATCAGCGATGAAGGGTTTAGGCCGAGAATAGCATCCTAATGGGCTTTTAATTTTAAAGTACTTCGCCTTGGCCTAAAGCAAATGCTAATGAGTTTTTAATTAATTTAGAAAATAACCGAAATCAAGCATTTTACAAAAATATTTCCCTTTTACTGATTAGAAACTCTGTAAGATACTTTTAATTTCTGCAAAATCGGTTTTGGCTTAAACTAAAAGGCAAATAACTTTAATAACCTTTTACTTCTTTAAAACCAGCCGTAAATATTAATGTCATGTATGATAAACTAGGCTAGTCTTCGATGTATTTACTTAAGAAATTCCCCAAAAGCTAAAGCAATAATAATAATTTTACTCACTTCATGTGAAATCATCAAGAAATCTTAAAGTTATAATAATTCAGTTATAAATTCAGAATTTCATCAATAAATTTGTTCATTTGTCTGCTTTCCACAATCAACTTTGGTGTTGCAGATTTAAGGTATCGGATTCAATTTTATGTCATCTGTTTGCTTTCAATCGTCGATAACTCAAAGCAGATTTCATTTCACTCACACGCGTTGGCTTTGCCATAACAATGGGGAATGCAATCCTGTGCAAAGGAATCCTTATTTAGGAGCCGGTACCATCTGTGACTGCTCTGTTTTTCCCAATTTTCCACATTTTTTCCCCTTTTCTCCCGCACTTTCCCGCCGAGTTGCCGCAATCCTTGACGCATTCCGAATCTCCGAATTGCCTCACGGTCCCACCGATGACAAAGGGAATCGGAAAATGCAACTGAAAATCGCTCAGACAATGGCCGAAAGGGGGGTGTAGGCGGAGTGGGCGTAGGGAGGGGTTGCTTGGTGAGTGGAAAACGAAAAATGCAAATTGTCAAACATGCAACGCAATTGACGAGAGACGAACTCTGTGGCACGCACAACAGTGGAGGAGGATTTCCTGTAGCTACCCACTCAACTAAGCTGGATTACACTGTTCTACTTTTTGGTGCCTTTCCATATCAATTGTTTAAAAAAAATCATTTGGATGCAAATTTGAATAGGAATACAATTAGTCAAGCTATGGACTCTAAAGATTCATTTTTGGGGTGCCTTTCTACAAGCCATCTAAATATTAAAACAAACAACATAGTAATGAGTATAAAAATTGACATTTAGTAAACGGATCAATAATTAATCAGAGATATGCCAAATTTAAATCAATTAGTCAAGTTTTGGACTATAGATGTACAGTTTTGGGACACCTTTCTGCAAGCCATTTAAAAATGTAAAAAAAATATGTAGTAATGAGTATAAAAATTGACAATCAATAAACTGGATTAAGATTAATGCAGATCAATAACATATATAGAAACGCTCAGAGTATTTAATTAGTCAAATTATAAACACAGAAGTGAAGTTTTGGGCTACCTTTCTGCATGTCATTGGCAAATTACAAAAAATTTAGCCTAGAAATTTATGAAACATTTTAAAACATTTTTAAAACATCTAAATGCTAAATTGAAAGTTTTGTTGGTGCTTTGGGTTGACTTTGTCATTATTGAAATGTCCAAGAGATTTAACCAAGATATTATTTGAATTATTAAATGCTCCATAATAGAGGCGACAAGGGACCTCCCCTTTTTTTCTGTGTGTACCAACATAGTGGCTGGACGAGAGGGTGGCAGTGGTGAAGGTTAGGGTGGTGCTTTCGTGCCGAGCTTGGGTGGTGTCCCTTATTGACAGGTCGTCACTCTGCCAGTCCGTCAATCTGTGGAGCTTCAGCTCGGCATGTGGCCTACATACTGGGCTCTTTAGCCCCTCGCCAAATCCCCTGGCCGATCGGCAGCTGGGTCCCAGGCTGGAAATTAACTCGAGCCAATATCCCGCACATGCCTCATATCCCTCATCGGCTCCATTGATGGAGTCTCGGGCCAGAGACGAGATGGACTTGTTGCTGCCATTGGCAATTGGCAGCCAGCCCTTGGTCCAGGCCTTTTAAAGCAGGCATAATTAATGGAACCAGCCCCGGATAATGTCAACATTATCGCAGCTAATTGCCAATCGGGAGGAGCTGCAAAGTGGGAAACGGAATTTAATGATACAGGGAATATGGAAACGAAGATAATGGGTAAATGCTTAAAAGAGCATCTTACGTTGCTTGATAAGTGGACGATGAGTGGCCATCACCTACAGGTTAATCAGTCTTATTAATTAAATGACAATGGTTAGGCATCAAATAAAAATACTTGATTAACAACATTATTATATAGCCATAGACACATTAAGATGAGCCATAAAATAATAATAATAATAAAGAAAGAAAGAAATGACAGGGAAAATCAACTATAGAATATAGAAATTAAATTGCATTAAAAATATACATAACTGCAATAGTAAGTTTTAATGGGAAGAGTAAATAGTTTTCCCCCCACAAACACATGTCGCTTTTAAAACAACCCCTGCCATCTTTCATTATTTGTAGCACTTTTTTGTTCCACCTTTGGCAAATTAGCAGTTCACACCCAGCTATTTTCGCACACTTTCCCTTGCTGTGCCTTTCAATTAGCGAATTTCCAGACATGCGAAAAAGCGAATTGAGAAAACAACCCAATGATCTAAGAGCCACTATTGACCGAGAGAAATTGAGACAAATACACATTTGCTTTAGAAAAAAAAAACAGTTTATTTATTGTGCCTTAGACTAGGTAAATTTGAGCCTGGACTCTGTGGATCTTTAAGATCGTTTTACTTTCTGTTTATTTGTGGCTCCTAACTATTGTCGGAGATGAGACGCTGTTCGTTGTAGCGTATGGGATATGTGAGTGCGTTGCCCTTGTCCCAGGAGTAGAGTTCCTGAAACGGAATAGCGTATATGGTATTCGGTCAGAGTAAAAGTCATAGCCAATACTTACCACTGTCTGGGGATTGTAGCCAACGGTGGTGGTGTGGCTGAAGGGATTCGAGAAGGGCAGGTTCGTGTTGAGGAGCTTGCCCTTGTACAAATCCACCACATATCGAATCTGGGTGTTCTTATCCGTACCCGAATCGATGGCATACAGATTGCCACACACGATGAACATCTCACCGAACTGATGATGGTCCAGGGTGATGTTAAAGTTGTACTGCATCTTTAGGGTCTCCGCATCCAACTACGTTGAAATTACTCTAATGAGAAATATACTTAAATGTATTTGTTTAATATCTTACCTTGGCCACCATTGTGTTGTTCGAGTTGTAGGTGCTATAGATCACCCACAGACCCACTTCATCCACATTGAAGTCCATGTAGTTGAAGTCCGTTGTGTAAAGTCTATTCCCAGCAGCCACTCCAGCATATGGTAGTTGTGTGGCTAAGAAAATACAGTTTGTAGTAACTTAATGACCATGAGGAATACGATTACTTACTTATCTTCTTGAGACTGATCAAGTCCAGCTTGACCACCAGATCCGAGTTCCTTTGTTGATAGTAAAACGAGTTATTGAACACCACATGAGCATTTCCCTGAAAAGGAAATGTATTAAACTAAGGAGATCCCGAAGTGGGAGGTGTCTCAACCCACATGAAAACCCTCTTGTATTTCGTACTTCCGCCTGGGGATGCTATTCATTCGATACTGGATGCGAGTGGTGAACTCAAACAGATTGTACGGATCGTTCTCATTCGTCACGAATGTCTTCTCACGATCGCTATCCGGAGATGGATCCCTCAGCCAAGAGCCGAACTTTTCATTGACCACCTTGTGGAAAACGGGCTTGCCCACTGCATAAAGATAGCAGGCTGATGGAAAAATACATATTATATTTTGGTTTTGTTAAAGTATACTCATCTCTACTCACTCTTCGGTCGCTTGGGTAAGCCTGGATAGCTCAGATTGCCCGTGGGTTGTATTTCAAAGTTATTCAGAATGGAATCTTTGCACTGGTATAAACTGGGGATTCATATGGACTTAGTAGACTTATAAAAGGGTTTATTATAATGACTAACCTGGGATCTGGACACTGGTCGCACACAGGACACTCACTTTCCGGCGGTCTTTGGCCATATACCTTTATGCTATTGCCCACATAGGGGGTCTCACTATTCGGATCTTGAGCTGAAAGTGGGGGACTTATAGAAGGGATTCTAGTTTTTTTTTACCCTTAGAGACTTACGTGCTATTTCAAAGTTGACCATGGTGGCATTCAATTCATTCCGGGCCACACAATGATAGTAGCCAAAGTCATCCTTGCGCAGATTGCTGATGGTCAGTCGCATGGAGGTCTTGAAGCTGATGGACAGAATCAATGGGAAGTCAGGGGAAGTGCTTATGGATATACTCACCCCTCCGGGTACGATTCAATGCCGTACTTCTCGCTGGGATCCAGGATCTTGCCGTCGTAGGCCCGTTCCCAATACCGAATGGCCTCGGGGAAGGCCTCCACCTGACACTCCAGTGTGGCACTGCTCTGGTACTCGGCGTAAATCATTTGGCGATACACCGATATCATGGGGGCAACTGGTTAGGATAGGAGATATCTCTTTTCGTTCAAAGGAATCAATACTTTCTCAACCGAAACTCACACTGCACTTCCACGATGAAAGTGGCATTGGCCACGGGAGCGATACCATTGTTGGCATAACAAGTGTAGGCCGCCATCTGATGTCGGGTGATGTTGGTGAACTTCAGGAACTGTCCGCTGATGGAGGCCACTAAATTCAGGGGAGGATTAGCAGTGGTAATGGGGAAAGGCAGCCCGGAGATACCCACTCTCTACGCCATTCACATTGATGGTGCGGCCATCCTCGCGGCGCCATTCCACCATGGGTGTGGGAGTTCCCGTGGCCGAGCAGCTCAGGTTCAGGGATCTTCCCTCCTCCACAATCACCGTGCGCTGGAAGTCCGGATGTTGCAGATCTGGGAAATCAAATAGTGTATAATTAGTTACATTTTCCTGAAATTATAATCAAATGGAAACCAAATTCAGCTGTTCTCCAGCATTGCCATTTCACAAACCATTTTCATAGAAATAGGTTTTACCACAACCTGGTTTAACCTCAGGTTAAATGGACTTCGGGTTAAACTCACCTGTTATGGAGGGCGGAATGAGCAGGTCGTTGGAGGAGCTGCCATTGGGAAACTGCAATTTCCAGGCATTGATGCCGGGCACTCCGGGTGTGCCATTGGTGCCCGGCTTGCCAGGACGACCACGTGGACCGGCAATGCCTGAAATGGGATAATAGCTCGCAGTTAGAGGATGTAGTTTGAAGGACACATTACGCACCCTTGAGACCCCGTTCGCCGGGCGGTCCCTGGGCTCCTTTGGGTCCCGTGATGGACAGCCCGTCCTTGCCATCCTTGCCGTGGAGTCCATCCTTGCCATCGCGACCGGAGAGGCCGTTCTTTCCATCGGCTCCAGCCCGACCAGGTACTCCATCGAGTCCCGGTTCGCCGGGCACTCCATCCCGGCCATCCAAGCCGGCTCGTCCGAGCACGCCGGGATCTCCCTTGGGTCCGCGAGGTCCGGCTGGACCCAAATGACCCACACCATCGACGCCGGGGGCACCGGGCAGTCCCACATCTCCGCGGTTTCCCTTGGGACCCGGGATGCCGGGCAGGCCGGGATTGCCGGTGGGCCCCTTAGGACCCACTTCCCCCGTGGGTCCTTGCGGGGCCGGCGGACAGTAGTCCTGGGTGCCCTTGCAGAAGCCCGTGATGATCTTCTCCGGAACGCGGCAGTAGGTGTTCAGGTAGATCCACTCATCTCCGCCGGGAGCGGCGCCCTTCTGGCCCGTTCGCTTGCGGATGTCGGTGTCCTGCTCCTCGAGAACCTTGCGATGGTTCGGATTGAAGAACTCGATTAGTGGATCGGCTGCGGGGGTAAAAGAGGGAGATTGGTTATTGGGACTGGGCGTCAGGGGACGCAGGACTCGGGAGCTTGCCATGCATGGAGGCGGGAGCGGATGAGGCGATGTCCCGACGCATTCGCTTTCCGGTGGGACGCGGCGTGTGGCTAATCAGGTTGTCCGTGAACTTGCGCTCGTTCTTCAGGGGATCCTGCGATTGGCTGGTGCTCCTTGCCGTGGTGCCGCCACCCAGTTCCTGCTCCTCCTCGAGTATCCTGCTGACCAGCGTCCTCAGCTCGTCCTGCGATCGCATCAGCTCCGCCTGGAATTGAGAACGGAAAGCACTCGACGCGAAGTAGGATGTGTCCAGCGGCGCAGGCGAGGATTCGTCCTGGGTGTGCGTGTAGAAGACGATCGATAGGCTGGCCAGGATGAGGGTGAGGGCGCCCAGGTAGATGTAGACCAGGGCCAGCGACTGGCGGCCGGGGCACTTGCACACCTGGCATCTGGGGGATCCTCCAGGTCCGACCAGCTGGTCACTGGAGGCACTGGACTCCAGGGGCGGCACCGGGGGCACCGGATCCTGCGGATCATCCTCAGCCGTCCGCCGCTTCCGCTTCTTCTTGCTGGTGTTCTGCAGACTCTGGTTAACCGCCAGAAACATTTTACCGGGTTCGGGGAGCTACACAGGTACACAGGAAAAAAAATGTTTAATATCAAAAAAAAAAGAAAAACTTATATTGCTAAAGAAATAATTCTTATTATTTGTAAAATTATATAAAAGTATATTTTAATTTAATAAATAGTTATCTTTGAACCTAATCAAATTTATAAAAGTTTATTTAACAATTATTATTATTCAACATTTTAAGTCTCTTCATGTTTTACCTTTTTTAAGCATAGACAAATTTATTTAATAAAGTTAGTATCTAAAATAGTTTGAAATTAAATTTGAATTTGAACATTTTTAAGCAAGTGATCATTTATATTTTTAAGATTGCTCAAGATAAATAAATTTTTTGTGTGGTATATGTTGTTCGAATGCCAATCGAAAGCAAAAGAAGACTTTTGATTTGTTTTGATTTATGGCCGGCGAGTGCAGTTCGAAAATAAAATGTCATATTTATAGATCGCATATTAAATGGTGTGGCTAAAATTAAACCACTGCCTCAAGATCCAAAAAAACGATAAGGTTAATATGAAACACGGAATGCCGATGCATTTCCCTGTTTTCCCCGCTTTTTACTACATACTTGTGTACATAAGAGCAGAACTTTTCACACTTTTCCCGCTGGAGTCGTTGAAAGTGTGGGGGTGTGAGAGATGGAGGAAGCGAGACGAATAGAGAGAGACAGAGACAGAGAGAGAGAGAGTGTGTGGGAGAGAGAGAGCTGCTTCCGAACGCGTTGGCGTCTAATGCTCGACTGAGCGAGTTGTGCGGCGACATTTTCCTCCGTAGCGGTTTGTTTTCCACGCTTTCGCCGGCAACTTTCCCACGCATCCGTTTCACACTCTCTCGCTCTCTTTCTCTCTCTCTCTGCCGCTCTCTCTCAGTTTCGGAGCGAGTGCACGGCTATATCCTATAGCTATCCTATACCTCACGCACATCGTAAATAAATCGGAAAGACTTAAGATTCGCTTGATTTCTGCTAGTTAAAGAACCAAAATAAAATCACATAAATAATGGAAAGCAAAATGTTTACTGCCTGAAATAATAATCTAAGAAGAATTCCGCGTATCGTAAAATATATATATATATTATCCATATAAATATAAGGGAAATCATTAATAACTATGGACGAGAGAGTTAGTTGCTCTTTAATTTCACGCCTGCGCCTTGAAAGTACTTCCGTTTTTTATTTTATTTCTTATGACTGGCATGTCCTAGGATATCCTTCTTGAAAAGGGGGCGGGGCAGGGGGGCGGTAGAACACAACAATGGATGCACACTCGGGCTTAGCAGGAAAAAAGCGTCTTGGCTTGATTTTTCCTCCTCGGAGAGGGAATACTTTGCGATATCCTCAACAAGTACAAAGTTTAATGGGGCAAACTTGGCCCATGGCAGCCAGAAAGTTTTCCTATTCGCAATCATGGGTTTCCCACTCAAGTTTCCCACAAGATACTCTGTTTGGAATAGTGAGCATCAGGAATATTGTCTTGTATTTCTACACTGCAAAGGGTGATTAGAAAATATACCTTGTTTTTATATTAAATAAACATGTCATTCTAAAATAAGTAATTTGTAAAACTTATAGCACCAATAAACGAAAGGCCCTCAAAATATAAATATACAATATGCAATATACGCAAGCGTTATTCAATTTATGTAATGTTTTATCAAGTCATTTATTTAGTTGCTGCTTTTGAGTAATGCTCTCTCTTTCGAATAAATCAATTTAAAATGCGCTTTAAATCTGCATTTGTTGACTGAGATTGTTAATTTTCCCAATATTTATTTTCAATCTCTTTTGGGTGCGCTCTTCTACTTACCCAGTAATTAACACAATTAGCGCTTCAATTCTGTCGCTTCGGCTGCAAACGATTTAAATTGATTGCATTTGCTCAAATAATTATATGTTATTATGTGCCGTTCCGAGTGCCACTCGATTATTGTTGCCACGCCTCCCCGCACCGCCCCACCTTTCGACGCCCACCGCCCACATTTCGACGCCGCATTTGCGAGCACTTTGCGCTTAATTTGCATTTCTGTTTCTGTTTGGAAGGCGGCGACTGCGACCGAATTCAATTTACATTGGCCAAATGCATACAAGAGCACGACCCAAAGGCCAATGAGCCGTAACGAGCTCGTTAACTGGATGCCGTACTCGGATCCTGGGGATCCCAGTTACCAGGACCTGCATTTCAGCCATTTACTTTGGCCAGCTGTGCTCCGCATTAGTTGCCCAAACACAATGGTCAGAAAGGCGGAATGGTCGGGAAGGAGCCGTTTCCCATCAAAGGCCAATGTCAGAAACTTGGCAGCATCAAATGCACTGGGGAAAACTTCTTGATTATCAACAAATTCTTGCTAATTAATAAGGTATTTTTACTTTTAATACTTTTTTTTGTTAGGGTATTCCCTCCTGATATCGAAAAATGATCTTCAGAATTAAGTTACTATCATTTGCGTGTTATGTGAAATGTTTTGTGTCTAGAAAAAAAGATAGATAGATAGATTTTATGACCTTTTCAGATTTCTAGTAGGAGTTCTCATCTGTTTTTTCTTTGTGTGTCAAATAGTAAAATCTCGCATATGACGCATATAATTACGGAATATATGTAACAACTTACAGATAACAACAACTTAATTATCGCACTTTTCAAACTATAAAATACAACAGAATGTAAAACTCATATAAGAACTCTGACCATGTAAAGAGTTTACTTCACTAGCGTATGATTTTAAGATAGATTTACAGAGGAAAACACCAGTATGCCAGCAGGTTCTGAGCCGCAGCATATTATGTTTATTATTGTGCGGGGATTTTCTGTGTGTAAAGCCAACTGGGAGCCGGGCCAAGTTGTTTGGCGGTTTGGCACAGAGCGTTTCCAGGCGGGCCAATACTTGTAAGCGGCTTACTGCCAAGCATTGGCAACAGAGCCATCAGAGCCATCAGAGGCAGCAGAGGCAGCAGGAAAGCAGCAGCAACAAGCCGCAAGGAAAGCAACAAGCCAAAGTTAAAGCCAAAGCCAAAGTCAAAGCCGCAGACCAAGTCGGCAAACAACAGCAGCGAAGCCAATAAATCAAAATGTCAAGATGATGGCCTTTGAAGTGCTTTCGAGCTGACTGAACTGAGCGCTGAAGGTGAGATGGGGCACTGAGGTGGCATAAGGTGGCACGAAGTGGGTCGACGAAGGTGGCAGCTGAAAGATCCAACAGGCAACAGACGTCAGACAAGAGGCAAGAGACAAGAGGCAGGAGACAACAGAAGACGGCCAACAGACGTCGCTTAATTTCGACCGAGCCGTGGATCTCCCGGGGAAATGACAAATTAAATGACAAGAACTGTCGGCTCAGGATGGCGACATTTAGTTAGCCCCGAGCTTAACACGCCTCCATCTCCACTGTGCCACCGAATTCGGGGTGTAGCTAAGCATATTGATTGTTGTTAATGCGCTCCGACCTCGTGCCACGTTGCGTATGAGTAATAAATGCATGCAAAGTCACTTGCAAATGTCGGATCATTGATCACTGTATACACTTTTTAGGGTTTGATGTCTTTTTTACTGCGTTACAAGTTTCTGACCAGCATACCATTTGCATCCGGGTAATATCAACTTATGAAATTTCCAGTCAACTGGCATTCACAGAAACAAATTTTTTTTTTGCTTTCCTTTAGGAGAAATTTTGTTGCCGAGACTGGAAAATTCAGCTCTATTCTTCGGTTTTTTAATGAAAACCCTGGGAATGTCATACCTCTTTGAATTCCTTATTGAATTTCCAAGCCATTATGGCAGCCCCCATTAAAAATATTTCATACCAATCAATGGGCATTTACAGCTCAGCCCTTTTATTTCTGAACATTTTTCTAAAACGTCATTTTTTGAAGTGTGAATTTGCTATTAATAAAATATGCTGAAACTATGGCATCCTTTTTTTGTTTTTCCTGTGCAGCGGTTTTTTATGACCCCAACAGACGCACGGCCGAAAGTGCATTCGGAGTTTGTTTTTTTATGGCCCAGTTAGCAATAAAAACCCCAGAACAATAACAAAAAGCTCCCAAAAACAACCAAAAAGCAATACGGCAGCAGCGCTGCTCCCTTGAAGAAACTGAAATTGAAATTTTATTACCGTGCTTCTCTGGCTTCCTTCAAGGATTTTGCCTATCTTGCAATCAGGCTGTTTGGAGCATAAGGTTCCTCAAAGGAATTTCGAAATGGGACTTAAAGAAGGCTGGGAAACTATCAACAAACCACAAACTATTCAAAGTGTCCATTATAAAGGATTTAAATAAGATTGATAGATTGATTTTGCGAGCAACAAAGTCAGAATATTTAAATAGGCTGTTAAAGGATTTCAGAGACAGCAAACAGCATTATAAACTAAGAAAATTAAACAGACAATCAGTTTTATTTATTTGAAGTATATGCACATGCATTAAACGTTGGCGAGTATGTTTTCATAATTTTAAGAGAATCAATAATATATTCTAAGACATTTTTTGATTAGCTTCCAAATAATATTTTAAGAAATTCAGGGTGTTGAACTTTAGTCAACATAAGTGTATTAAAAATACACAAAATATATGCTTAAAAAAATAATTTTTCTTCATCTTTAATATTAAAAGAAGGTATAAATTACGTTTAGAGGAACTTTGGAGGCATAAAAAGTAACCGCAACAATATTCCCTGTCCCAAAAAAAGCCCTCAATTTTAAGGCGTGGGAAATGTCTTCAGGTAATTTCTTAATTGCCGCCTGTCGCGGAAAACGGAAATGGGCGTGGCAATCGGCGCTGAAATTTCTGACAGCATCTCCTCACTTCATCCACGTTTGTTTGTGGGCGGAGGAGGGCGGTATTTTCTTTGGTTCGTTTGCTTCGGTTTGCATTTCCTTTGCATATTTATGAGGGTGGCAGTCGAGGAAAAGTCCTGAAAAGCGGGCAAAGCCTACAGGAAGCATTGAACACCATCGAGTGGCAGTGCTTATCTCTCACAGAGAAATAAAAAAAAAATGAGAAAAAAATGCCAAGCCTACGGAGGCTTTTTCCTTTGGCTTTTCGCAGGGCAACGCAAACAACAACAAAATCAACAGGGAAAAATGTGTTCAGAGTTCAACTGAAGCACAAGAGCTAAGCTGAGTCGATATTAAAAAAAATTAAAAATATTTAATGCATTTTAAAGTTTGTTTCCTTTTCTTGTCTTTCGTTTGCTATTTTATATAATGCAACTCGAAGAAGATACTTAAGCAGGATTTCATTTTTTTGTTTCCAAGAAAAGTTAATAAAAAACAGCTGGCGTTATATGGCTCATATACTAAAATTATTTGTTTTTTTTTTTAATTTTATTAATAACTAAATGTATAAAGAGATAAGAAAGACAACTGTCTAATAATCTATGTCAATTTGTATTTTACGAATGTAATACGTATTAATGCGAATATAAATTACATTGTTTTGGTTAAAGATAACAATTTGTACTTAAATGAGCTTATTTATCAGGGATTATTTATTTATTTTATAACATATCACTAACTATGAAATATATTCCAAAGCTAGTCTCTTTCTCTTCAATTTGAAACAAACTGAACTTGAAAGTTCTAAATATGTCATCATCATTTCTCATTGTCAAAAAACATATTAATTTAAAAAGAGATACATTTTAACTTGTGAAGTTCCACTTAGTTTAGCCATTTTTCTGCTCTCTTATTTATTTCAATTGTGCTCCTTTTGTCTGTGTCGTTTCAATTGCCTT